TTTGATCGCTCCTCTTTATACACGTGAAAGCCCAGGTTCAATGGAAGTCCATTGTTCCACGATGTTGTGGGTAAGTTTTTTGTTTTGTTTTGTTTTTAAGATCTGGAGTTCAGCGTCAGGCTACTGGATGTTTTCTTTCCAGACTGTGCACCGCTGCAAGTTTCAACAGCGTCCTCACCCATTTCTCCTTGTCAGCATCGCCCGACAACCATCAACATGCAATCTCCTTTGTGTGTCTTTAGTTTTATTTGCAGTGCGCTTTATAAAAATTCATTACACTGTCTGCCGCCAGCGTAGGCAGAAAAATATTCCCTCAGCTCGGCTGAACTCTCACCCTCCTTTAATGTAAACACGGCTCACTAGTCACGTTTCTCCCATTAAGGTAAATGCTTGCATTATGTATGAATCTAGTCTCCTTAATCCAGTTGCGCCATTAACCCGCACCGCCAGTCTTTTTCAAGGCCTTTCATAAAGAGAAGTGGAGACAACTCTGACCCTCTTAATTTGTAATGGATAATTTAAAGCATTAGTGTAAATTAGATTACCGGTAATTACGTATCACATAAGATGTGTTCTTCTCCGGCTGCAGCGGGATTTGAGTTTACAAGATGTGCTGTTGAATCTTCAGTCTAAGTGACCCAAAGTGACATTTGGCCCTCGAGCATAGACTTCTGAAAAAAACCATTGTCCCGTAAGCCAAATGCTTCTGACAGATATTCATTTATTCATTCGCCCCTCTTTCTATTTTCTCATTTGTTTTTCTCTGCAACGGCCGCTGCAGTTATTGTTGTTTGTCGTCTTGTCTGTCTACCTCGTCAGCCGTCATGCCTGTTGACACACGGCACTCTGAGTTAAATGATTATTGTGTGATTGCAAAGGGTTGCGGGGCTTTCTGATGGAGACCTGTCTCCCCAGCCCTGTAGGCTATCCCACATCGGCAGTCTCCAGCTGGGGATAGATGGGAGGGGGGAGGGAGGGCTGGGGTTAAGGTGGGAAGGGGGAGGGAGAGGGGCTTTACCTGAATCAGCCCGTCATGCCTGCCCTCAGGCTCACCTGTCAACAACCCACTAACAGTCGCTTTCACTCTCTGTCGCTTTCTGGCTCTTCTTTTCCATCACTTCCTCTGCTCCTGTATCTCTCTTCACTCATTTATCTCCCTGCCTCTCACCCTCTCCACTCATTCACTTCACTTCTGCTCCGACACAAAAAACAAATAACTCTCACCTGAGCGGATGTGTCTGCGTCTCCCTCACTCTCTCTCTTTCTCTCTCAGACTGTCATTTTCACTTCACAGCAAGTTATTGGAAACAGCTTTGGCCATCGGACTCAAGGAGACTATTTGTCTTGGCAACTTCTGATCTGACTCAAAAACTCAAATAAACTCTGGAGAATAACTTAAAGGTTTGTGTGTGTGTGTGTGTGTGTGTGCTTTAACTGTTTGCATGACAATGGGTTTAGAGAGGTCATCCTTTGAGAGACGGGTGTGATTTCAGGGTAAGTTTACCAAATTTTCAGTAGCTCAGGCAATGTGTTTTTAGCTCTTGGTTCCAGAAAGGAGAAGATAAAAACCAAACCGTCTCCCCTTTTTTGCCATTTTCTCAATAAATGTGAAGGTCCAAGAAGTGAGCGGGATGACGGTGTGGCCGTCTGATGCAATATTAAACCCACACTGCATAAAGCGTCTCCTCCACAGAAACAGATGTGGCCGGGAAGAGCCCTGTCAGACTGCGGACTAAAGCAAAGTTTAGACTCCTGACAAAAAGCCGAAGACTTTTAGTGGAATGAAAACGACTCTGTTTTCTGTCTGCTGTGAGTACGTGTGCCACGAGTCACGCCCAAACATCTTCACTAAAGAAAACAAATCAGTTGCTTTTCAGTCTGGACGCTGAGGCCACATCTTTCTGCCTCCCTCACTCCCCGTCTCTTCCTGTCTGTCTCTCTGCCCATGTGAAGACGTCAGCACTTCCAGCCAGCTCAGTTAATCAGCCAGAATGAGGAGTTTTAACCCAGTGTGTGATGTAAACTTGAAATAAATTTGGTTTCTGCCTGGTTTCTTTCTCTGCAAACTGCATGGCATAAAGTGACTGAAGAGGATGGGTGTATTTTAAACGTATTAACGAGCAAAAATGAATAAAGGTTTTGCCATTTTTTTTAAAAATAGAGTGCATGGTAAAAAGTGCACTGTTTATACAAAAAACTTAACTTTGAAATCATATGTATTTACTTAATTTCCAACACTGGAAAGGAAAAAGTATTTGCAGTCTAGATGCTAACCTCAGCAACCACCTTCAGTTGTTATCTCAGGTACAGTTTGTGGTAAGGTTATTTGGATCAGATCTCACAACAGTCAATAACAGCACAACAGGTGCCTTTTGTTAATTCAATATGACTTTGAATACATTTTTTTTCCAAGCAGTCGAATCAGAAGTCACTAATTATTATTATTTTGATCAGAAAAACTAATGTACACAAGCTTCTCGAGTCTATAACGTTTCATCACACAGAACCTCTTCGCTGTGGATGATGAATACTGAGCTGACCTGTTTTTTTGTATCCATCGGTCCTGTCAGCATGCTGGGGTCACCCACGGATTATGGCACAAGAAAGCGTTTTGTAGCAACCTTTAAATGTTACCCGTTGCTGTGAATGCTGCACAGTGTGGGGAAGCCCCGACTTTCAGTGTGCTGCCGGTGACTCATCCGGAGCTGAAAGGTCAGGGGTCAGCTCTTTTGTCATAAGCATCAAACAAACAAGCTGGGTCCTCTGTGAGTCACACACAACCTCTGGGGCACATGGCAGGGTTGGGAGGGGGGGGTGTCTGTGTGATGTTTTTGGTAATTGTCGCTCTGTCACCTTCCACCTTCACGAGGCAGCAGCAGACGGATATGAAGATGGAGCAGCTATTGGATGCCGCAGCTCTCTTTCTCCGTGATACACCACAGCCATTCCTGCTCCACAGCCTGCGGGGTAATATGACAAGGAGGGATGCTTGCACTGACTGAGAGAGCGAGCAGATTGTTTTTCAAACATCACTGGGGCCTAAAGCTTTAGTAGGTCAGCTCCCATAGTAAAAGAAAACTTGTGATCTTAAAGTCTCGCCGCTAAACACAGAGCCTGCCTTCCACAGAGCCTGCCTTCCACACTGGCATTCCTGAAATCCTCTCAAAAGGGGGGGGCATAACTGTTTCAGAGTAGCAACAGGTGGTGTGCTGTAATCTTCTGCATTGTATTGTCATGGGCTGTCTTAGATTTCAGTAAGCGAGCCAAGGTTTATGATGACTGGAGCACAGAGTGACGGTGTCAAGTATTTAAACAGACACACGTTGCTGGATGTCTTCCCCAAAAGGCAAAAGGCAGTTTCCAGAATCCCATTAGATCCATTTGGCTTGTCACGCGTGTCAATTAGTCCAAATTCTCTCTACATGTTAAAAAAAAAAAAAGGTCAGGGAGGCATACTCTTGTTGATGTCACTTTAAAAAAAACTTTGAGAGAAAAATGACATTTATCAAATAGCCTCCTATCATGTTCTCAGCTTCTCTCCCCATCACTATGTGACTATGGGCTAATATTCAGCCTGTCACTCTGCCCGAGACGATCAGGCCTCCGCTCTTCTCCCATTTAATTATCAACTCTGGCTGTGTATATAACACATCCAGGCCACATCTAATTTTTATCATAATAAAAAATTGCCCCCCTTCAAACACACACACACACACTTTCCCACATGCTCGAATAAAACTATGAAACTATGATCCTGTGCTCCAAAATAACCAGGACCCGCTTTTTTTCTTCTCTGTGTCATTACACTACCCCTCCCACCCTCGTGTCTCCTCTGCCAGATTGTGTAACATCCAGGCTTCAGTAGCTGTCATCACCCACCTGGTCCGCCCATCAGGGGAGCACACCTGTATGCTAATGGGGAGGGATTGCACCACGGCTCGGTGTGGGCAGCCCAGGAGGTGAGGCGATGTGACGGAGGAGTGGGAGTGCCTGCCTCCCTGGCTGCCCTGTCTACCTGACTGACTGCCTGGCACTGGGTTCTGAAAAATGCCAACACAAAGCTTGATATTTGCTCCCACATAGATACCGTGGGTGAGAGGATTTTCTTTCATTTTCTATTTTTCTATCCTCCTACCCACCTTCTTCATCTCTTTTTCTCCACCTGCCTGGGATTCTTTCAATTTCACATATTTACTTATTGCGCTCACCTCCCTGTCATTCTATTGTTCCAACTCCTCTTCATGGATGCTCTTTCTATTGTTTTTTGGCACATCTACCTACTTCCTCGTGTTTTCCTTTCAAATCAGGGCATGGTTAAATATTAACCATTGCTCGTGCAGGATATGCTTATGTGTGTGTGTGTGTGTGTGTGTGTGTGTGTGTGTGTGTGTGTGTGTGTGTGTGTGTGTGTGTGTGTGTGTGTGTGTGAGTGAGTGAGTGAGTGAGTGAGGAGAGAGAGAGAGAGAGAGAGAGAGAGAACAGGGGCATGACTGTTGCGTGTAATGTTAGTTATCTTTTTTTTCCTCATAGGTCACCGGAGTTTGATCAGGTGAGGACTCCTCTGCCTGGTTTGTGTGGGCAGTTATTTTGAACTTACCAATGAGAAGAAACCACTGACCTACATACACAAATATGCAAAAGTACACACAGATCCTGAGCATCTACACACGTAGACTAATTCTCCTTCTCCTGCCCTTACAGCATCTGGCTTCCACCCCCTCCATGCATCAGAGTGAAGAGAGGCCCAAACAACCACTGTGAACTGTTTATCATCTTTATTACTTTATTACTTTTCTGAGAGTTTTCCCTAACCTGATTTTATTACATTGTCATCAGATGATGAGTTCTCTCATCTGCTGCTCTCTGCTCTTTTCTTCTTTGGTTTTCCACAAATTTATCGACCTTGGTAGCTGATGCATGACAGCGGTGGTGGATGCAGACAGGAGTTTAGATTTGGTATCATCACCTTGCCACATTTAAAATCATTTTGTGTAACTCACCATCATTGTAAGCTGTCTCCTGGTCTTTTATCGTCAAAGTAACAGGCCCATGGAGGAGGAGAATTCTTGTAGCTGAAAAGCAGAATGTAAATCCAAACGTTAACTGTGTGTGTGCACGGTGACAGGCTAGCATTTTTTTCTACGCATTGCCACATACCTTCAAAATGTATTAGATTTATACGTCCAGTATCCGGATGAATAAACAGAATTACACATTCTCCAGCAGCGACATCCAGGCATATTTGGATTTTGTAAAGGAGCCTCTGCTCCAGATCATTCATAATATATGACAGAATTTTGCTATCACTCTAATAGGGGTAAACAGAGACATTTGCCAGAGGCTGAATGGAAAATGCCTGCAAGGGGATGCAATCCAGCAAAGACCAAACGCCAGTTGTGCGTACCTGAATGATTGTTTTGTTACCACATCAATCGATCCATCGATCTATGTCAGTTTTTTCAATCAGTCCGATTGTGATAGCATGCTTGTGACAGCGGCATCTGGATGGGGCAGTTTAAACGTAGTTCAAATGCCTTTTATTCACTAAACCCTGAATGTAAATCAAATTATATTCATCGGCAGCATCTTTTCTCTCCCTCCCTCTCCTTCTCTTGGACCACCTCAAAGTTTCCTGCCCACGATATTTCCCAATAAGGTTGCTCACATATAGATCCAGTCAGCAGCAAGGGAAACACATCGATTTCCCGTCAGCTTCCACCGAGGAGTGTAGGAGCCCCAGCCGAAACTGGAGCAGCCGGGGTAACATCGGTATCCCGCTGGCGTCCTGGCAGCTGTGCACAATGTTGTTAACGCGGCCCATTAGGCCGCTGAGTGGCAGAGAGATTCCCTGAATATTGAGCAGGGGACACCCCTCAATTAGATAGATCGCCCCGTACCTCGTCAGCAGCCGCACCTATCTGTCCTCATTAATCAATGACACCGCCGAAAGAGATGGAAAGTTAATTTAGGAGAAGTTTGCTGCCATCCAGCAGTTTGCAGCCTCCTAATTCTCAGACCGCTGCTTGAGAATTGTCCACACACACAACACAATATATTATAATATAATATAATATATATATATATATATATTATATATATTATAATAATATATATATATATAATATATATATATATATATATATATAATATATATATATCCCCCCACCGGAATAGCTCCTTAAGCAGAGGTTTTAGAGAAACGCTCGTCCATGCAACTCGTAAATATCAGTAGTTGTTGAAAAAAAGGGCGTTAAAGTTGTGCGTGAGCTGGTGTTGCAGTTGGGTTTTGCGTGTTTTGGACCCAAATTGTTGTACAAGTTGTTGGAATTGTGTTTAAAAAGCGTTCGTCGTGTTTTTGGCTTGCTCTGTGCGTCTGTTTAAACACTAACTCGGTCCACGCAGCGCAGTTCTTCTGTTTCACAGAGTGGTTACAGGCGAACCGCGAGTTAAGCTGCGCTTTTAAACACAGGACCGTAATTCTGTCGCTAACATTAGTTATTGTGAGCGTTGGACATGATTTGCACTCCATTCTCTCATTCGCTGCCAAACAGCGATCGGCTTTGCCAAAGGAAGCTCCAAATAAGGACAGGGGAAATGGAAACCCACCGGAATAGGTCCTTATGTAGTCACGACCTTATAAGGCACGGCGGAGCAGGGCTTTCCGGCAGCAGCGCTGCCTGCTGCACAGATGGGAAATCCAAATCAAATCTATGGGACGACCGGGAGAGCGCAAGAATAATGCTGCTGTCTATGAAGATACATTGATTCGGGAGAGAGGAAGAGCGGCGTTGTCTTCACAATTTACTGTTAGAGCTTAATATAAAGTCTCTCCTCTCTGTTTCCCCCCCCCAGGCCAGCGTCATGTGTCCTCCACTGCAGTGCCTAAATATGGGCTTCCTATGCTCCAAATATGGACATCTACGTCACAAAGCACATATAAAAGGAGCGGGGAAACCTCTCGGCTCATAGACAGCCCTGAGAGCCCACAAGAGCAACTGTTAGAGCCGAGATAGAGAGACAAACAAATAGATCTCACTGACAGAAAAATCACATTAAAAAGTAAAACGTCAACTCAAAACAACATCAATCCAAAAAGGTAAAAAGCCTGAATTGGAGAAGTAATTTATTACAAAAAGTCGAAATTAATCAACAGATTAATTTTGATGAATCTTAGGGAATGAGTATAAAGGAGACGTTTGATTTTTTCCGAAAAGACAAGTGGATCTTTACTCACCTCTAAGAGAAACACGGACAACGACAGGACCACGGGAGAGCAAGAGTCACGGACTAAAGACAGAAAAGCTGCATCTTCCTCGGCATCAGAAGAAGTGTGCAGCGCTCCCTGAACGGGGCTAAGTGATTCCTTCCACCTGCGAGGCACCGCTCTGCTAACGTGCGCCCAGCCTCCACGCACTCAACACCAGCCATCAGCGCAGTCTCAGCCCTGCAGCTTCAGCACCAGCAGAGGATGGCTGCAGCCAAGACTGAGATGATTCTCCCAGCCCTGCAGAACTCCGAGCCCCTGAGGTTCTCTCACTCCCCCATGGATAGCTACCCTAAGCTGGAGGAGGTGATGATGCTCAGCTCTGCAGGGACCCCATTCCTCTCTGCGTCTGCACCAGAAGGTGCCGGTTTTGGCTCCGGGGAGCCAGGAGACCAGTATGACCACCTCGCTGGAGGTAAGATCTGGAGATTTTTTTTCTATTGCTTCTGGTTGTTTATGCTGCATTTAAAACCGAATTAAACGCATCTGTAGAGCTATAATGAACCAAGAAAGAGTTGACAGAAACAGCTATGCAACTTACAAAAATATTATTTATGTTTGCTCTTTATTGCTATTTCACTGGATTAAACAGTCATGCTTGATTTAAGTTGACATTTAAGATTTTTAGTTATAAGTCTGCTGCATGTAGTTTTCCAGTCTTCCCCTTTAGCTCACTGAACACTATTGTTTAATATTATAATTCTGTTAAAACTAAATACAGAGAAATAAAAACACCTTACTTAACACTAATTTATTGATAGCTCTATATCCTAGTCAGGTCTCTAAAGACTCAGACTCTGCTCCGCATGCTTCTCAACACTCCTACAGCTCAATTCAAATTGCATTTCCAAAAACGGCTGAACTGCAGTTTCGATGATCAATCGCCTCTGGCTCTGTGATGGGTTTTAGGAATCCGAACGCTGTGCTTGTGTGTGTGTGTGCTCGAGCTTGTGAAAGACAGGAAGTAGGAAAATAAAAGAAAGATTGAGAGAGTTTGAGCCAATGTGTTTAGAAAGCATGCGGCTTCTGTTGCTGTTTAGATAGACACACTTCTAGGGTTGAGGGGGAAAGAGTTTAGTTTGAGGGTGTTTCTCTGTGTGGGCACCTGTCTGATCTGTGACAGGAGAGAGGGGTGACACACTGTCCACTGCTCTGGCAGGTTTCCCTCTCCCTCCCTCTGGATATTGACAGTTTGATTTATGTCTCTGCTTTCTCTGTGCTCCCTGCAGATACGTTACCTGATATCCCCTTCAACTGTGAGAAGCCAGTGGTGGACCAGACCTACCCAACCCAAAGGCTGCCCCCCATCTCCTATACAGGCAGCTTCACCCTTGAGCCCGCCACCACCTGCAGCAACAGCCTCTGGGCGGAGCCGATCTTGGGCCTGTTCTCTGGGCTGATAGGCAATGTTGCACCCAGCTCTAGCTCTTCCTCCGCAGCCTCACAGACCATCTCATCCTCCTCCTCTTCAGTCCCATCTTCCTCTTCTTCCTCGTCTTCTTCTACCTCCTCGTCCTCATCTCAGAGCTCCAGCCTCAGTTCTTCGATTCACCACAGTGAACCCAACCCAATCTACTCAGCTGCCCCAACCTACTCCAGCTCCAACTCTGATATCTTCCCAGACCAGGGCCAGGCTTTTCCCACTTCAGCTGGAACAGTGCAGTACCCACCCCCTGCTTATCCCAATAGCAAGACCTGCAGCACAAGCTTCCCTGTGCCCATGATTCCTGACTACCTCTTCCCTCAGCAGCAGGGAGAGATCAGCCTGGTCCCTCCTGACCAGAAGCCCTTCCAGAATCAGTCCAGCCAGCCCTCCCTGACTCCTCTTTCTACCATCAAGGCTTTTGCAACCCAGACTGGTTCGCAGGACTTAAAAAGTGTCTACCAGTCCCAGCTAATCAAGCCTAGCCGCATGCGCAAGTACCCCACCCGGCCAAGCAAGACACCACCCCACGAAAGGCCGTACGCTTGCCCCGTGGAGACCTGCGATCGGCGCTTTTCACGGTCTGATGAGCTGACACGTCACATCCGCATCCACACAGGTCAGAAACCCTTCCAGTGCCGCATCTGCATGCGTAACTTCAGCCGCAGCGACCACTTGACAACGCACATCCGTACTCACACCGGCGAGAAGCCTTTTGCCTGCGAGATTTGCGGACGCAAATTTGCCCGCAGCGACGAGAGGAAAAGACACACAAAGATCCACCTACGGCAGAAGGACAAGAAAGCAGAGAAGGTGGGGGCAGTGGTGGCAACAGCAACCCCGGTCTCAGCAGCCTCACCTCCCTCCAGCTACCCCTCTTCCATCACTTCCTATCCTTCTCCAGTGTCTTCTTACCCCTCTCCAGTCACCTCCTGCTACTCCTCTCCCGTCCACACTTCCTACCCATCTCCATCCATCGCCACCACCTACCCATCGGTGTCCATGTCAAGCACCTTTCAATCCCAGGTGGCCTCTTCCTTCCCCTCGTCAGTGGCATCCAACATCTACAGCTCCCCCGTCCCCACCCCGCTCCCAGACATGCAGACCACCCTTTCCCCAAGGACAATCGAGATCTGCTAAGAACGAGCAAAGACAAGAACTTTTTTTAGTCTCTCCGTACCTCTCTTTCCTTAAGGTTTTTTGAGGGGAAAGAAATCAGCATCAAAAGGACTTTGTTTTTCCCCCTCCAAAAAGCACTTTTCTGCTCCCTGTGCAGTGTTAGGTGAATCTTGAGATTTACCTGAAAGAGAGAAAAAGACACATGTCAAGGACCGGGCAAAGACAATAGAAGATGAAAAGGGATTTTTTTTTCTGTCTCTAAAACAAATGCAGCACTTCAAGTGCATATGGGACTCTGGAGACAGAGAAACTGGCAAGTCTCTGTTATAGGTACACAATAACCATGAGACAAATAGATCGCCTGCAGTTGAAGTACAGAGGCATGTTCGTCCTTGCAGGCGGTCATACAGTACTAAAGACAATGAATGATATACATAAGCTATCATATATGTATATTGTACATGTGCCACGTTTCGTTTTTATCATTCTTTGGTACCACTGATGTGAACAGTTGTTTGCATATTTGCATTGTATTATTTGAAGTGAGCAGGGCCATATTTTCTACATACTTTCTCTATTATGTAGTGATGATGCTGTGATACGTTTCGACATTGTTTGAAGAAAAAAAAAAACCGCACTTAAGTATTCAAGCATGAGTAAGAGTGATGTTCGTTTCTGTTTGTAAATATCATCCACTGGTACTATCTCTTTCTCTCTTTCTCACATGTGACATATCGCTCAGTTATATGGAAAAACAGAGAAAAGAAAAAAAAACATTTTCTTTTCTTTTTTTTTAGAAAAAAACTTAAACAAGACAAACGCTCCTGTTATTTGGTGCCTTTTGTGAAGCCTTGTTGATTGTGTGACATGGCTGAGCGCGAGAGACGATGCACAGCATCTCGCCTTAAGGGTTGAGGGACTATTTTTGTTACAGAATGTACACAGAGGGAGTGAAGGGACGAGCTCCGAGGGCACCGCTTCATTTTATCAGAATGTAAGCAAAAAAGGATAAAAATTATAAAGTCTATTTTTGTAAAACTGAAATGTAAATATCTACATCTTCAAGAGCTGGAATGTTGAAGTTACCTACTGAGTAGGCATGGGATTCTTTTGTATGTTATATACATGCAGTTCATTATTTTGTGGTTTATCTTTATTTTGTAATTGTGTTTGTTAAAACAAGTGACTGTTTCTGGCTTCTAAACACATTGAATGCGCTTAAC